TTGTATCGTGGAGCAGAAAGAAATGAGGGTTCAGTGAAATTGTTTCTTGCCCAGCTCGGAGGTTCAGTGTTTTCACAAGGATCCTCCAGCTCTGCCAGGCAGGAGTTTCTCCATCCTTCCCGTGAATATCCCGCTCCAGACACTCGGACAGGATTCCACCCGCTTGGAAAAAGAAGCAGAGGTTATTTGAATGCCTTCTTCCTTCAAAACCCTGCACAATAATAATGGGAACAAAGAGATTCGGGTCCTCCAGCTCTGCCAGGCAGGAGTTTCTCCATCCTTCCCATGAATATCCCGCTCCAGACCCTCAGACAGGATCCCACCTGCTTGGAAAAGGAAACAGAGGTTATTTGAATGCCTTCTTCCTTGAAAATCCTGCATAAATAATAATGGGAACAAAGAGATTATGTCTGAAATATTTAAAATTCCATTCCAGAAATTTCATTTCCCCTTTCTGTGTAAATTTTCTTGGATAAGGCTTTTTTTTTCAAATAGGGAATTAATAAAAAATAAATGTATCCACATAGACCCTCACGGGGTATTGGCTGACAAATTCATTTTGCTCTTTCCTTCACTTTAAACCTACTCAAGCTGGGTATTTGTAAAGAGGATCTTTTTTTTTAAATTAACTATTACATTTGTAATTTTTAAATTTACTATTATGTTACTATTGTAGTCATTTACAATTTACTACATTTTAGGCCAAGAGAAACTTATTTTGTACAGTTGATTCTTCCCTCTCACCAAGGACTTAAATCTCTGATACTTTTTAGATTCCCAGACAGTTTTTGTAGTTGGGTTTTGGTTTTTTTTGGTACAAATTTGCTTTATAGCCCTGTTATATTACACACAAAATTTGAATTATCAGCTTTTTTGTTTTGGATGCTGGATTAAATCTGAAATTCCTTGTGCAAGTTCTGGTCAGCTCCACAGGCTGGCATGGAGATGGGTTTGTGTTTGAAGGAAAATTGAGGGGATTTGGTTCAAAATGCTGCAGAAGAGGACAGAGAGGCTGGGTGTCCTCTGTGCCAGCCTGGTGTTCCTTGGGAGTGAGGGCACATCCCTCTGCCTTTCTCATAAAATTGATGGTTTGGGCTGCAAGGGGCCTTAAATCCCACCCCTGCCATGGCAGGGACACCTTCCCCTGTCCCAGGTGCTCCAGCCCCAGTGTCCAGCCTGGCCTTGGGCACTGCCAGGGATCCAGGGGCAGCCCCAGCTGCTCTGGGCACCCTGTGCCACCCTCAGCACTTTCTGAGTAAACAATTTCTTCCTGACATCCAAATCTCCCCTCTTGTAGATTAAAACCATGGCCCCTTGGTATAAGAATTCATTCTCCCTCCTTGATAAGCTGATTTTAAATACTGGGAAGGGCTCTGGGGTCTCCCTGGACCCTTCTCCAGGGGAGCACCCCCAGCTCATCTCCAGAGCACCCCGAGCATCTCTGGGCCACCAAACCCTCCCCTTCCCTCCCCAAACAGCCAGGAGGGCTGGCAGGGAGCTCTGCTTCTCTCCTGGCCATGGAAAGCTGCCCAGGCCCGCTGTCCATAGCAGGGGGTGACAGCCTTTCCAGCCTTCTGGTGGGACGGGACAGGGAGAGGAGGGACAGGGAGAGAAGGAGGGACAGCGGCAGCGCTCAGCACACCCGTCCCGTGCAGTTACCAATTCTGTATCAAACTCACATTTCTGCGGTATAAACCATCCCTCTCTCGTGCCGGGTTTCAGCGGGGGCTGAGCGCGGTCCCGCAGCGGGCAGTGGCCTCGGGCGGGGCTGGCCGTGCCACCCGCTGCTCCCCGCCGCTGTCCCCGGCCGCCCCCGCTCGCCGCTTCCTCCTCCTCCTCCTGAAATTCCCGTTCTCGAGCATCTTCTCGCTCTTGGGATCCAGCGTCCGGGAGCTGCCTCTGCCTGCGGACAGAGCCAGCGCGGCGGTGGCGGCTCCGCACCTCTCCGCACATCGCTGAGCATCAACCCGCGCATCGCTCCGCATCGCTGAGCATCAGCCCGCGCATCGCTCCGCATCGCTGAGCATCAACCCGCGCATCGCTCCACGTATCGATGAGCATCAACCCGCGCATCGCTCCGAGCATCGCTCCGAGCATCGCTCCGAGCATCGCTCCGCGCATCGCTCCGCGCCTCACCCGGCCGCGCTGGCGAAGCGCTCGCTGAGGGACGGACGGGCTGTGGCGGATGGAGCTCTGCCAGGGGAACTTCTCGGCCCTGGCAGATCCGGCCGAGTGTGAGCGCTGTGCACGGCCGCGGCGATCAGCGCAGTACGACAGGGCGGCCGCGCTGGCCAGCCCCGCTCCCGGCTCCTGCGCGGCCCCGGAGGCGGGCACGGAGCGGCGGGGATGGGCTGGCTGCGGGGCCGGGGCGAGCCCAGCATCCCGCGGAGGGAGCCCAGCATCCCGCAGCATCCCGCGGCACCAAGCGGGGCAGGGTCCGGGCAGCGCTCGGTGAAATAGCGGGGACGCCCGGAGCGTTCCCTTCGCCCCCCCAGGGTGAGCGGGAGAGGGTCCCGGACAAACCGGGGGGATTTGGGAATGGGAAGAGGGGGGGGGATGAACACAGAATGCAGAGGATGGAGCAGCACTGCTGGGAGAGGTGGGATTAGTCACCTGGAGAGGAGAAGTTTGGGGTGACCTCAGTGTGGCAGAGCCCGAAGGAGCTACAAGAAAACCAGAGGGGAACGTATTTGCAAGGGATGGAGCAGCAGGAAAAGGGGGGATGGTTTTAAAATTACAGAGAGAAGGCTTAGATGGGTTATTAGGAAAAAAAAAATGTTTACTCAAAGGGTGGGCAGGCCCTGGCACAGGGTGCCCAGAGCAGCTGGGGCTGCCCCTGGATCCCTGGCAGTGCCCAAGGCCAGGCTGGACACTGGGGCTGGAGCCCCTGGGACAGGGGAAGGTGTCCCTGCCATGGCAGGGGACAGAACTGGATGAGCTTTAAGGTTCTCACCAACCCAAACCACTCTGGGATTTCATAATTCTTTCAACTTGGGAAAACCAGACCTGGCTGATGCCACCTTCTGTGTCCTTCCAACAAAGAGAGCAAAATCTCACAGCCACAAGAGCCGCATCCTGAAGTGAGGAAATGACCAGGAAGTCAGGAAAAGGGATAAAGAGGGGTAAACATCTTTTGCACATTGCAAAATTAGAAATAACCAATTTTTATCACGAGGTTTATCTGAGTATCAGTTACTTCAGGCATAATTTTAGAAGATCTGCCTTAAATCTCAAAAGTGTGAGGGGAGATGTTCCATCCATTTCAGTGAAACAAGTTCAGGAAAGTATTTGATCCCAAATATTATTTAATTTCCCTGCTCTCAGTGATTACCTGGAGATCTCCAGCAGTAAAATTGACCCCAGGTATCACAGGCATGGCTGCTCTGGGAGCTGCTGGTTTATTTTCCGTGGCATTGCTTGTCTGTGATATTATTTATTTTAGCTGTTGCCTCATGGCAAACTTGACATAGGTTTGGCTGAACTTTTCTGGAAGTTGGAGACATCTCCCATGCAAACAAGAGAATTTAATTTGTGTGTTTTCTAAACATCCCCATTTACAAGCCTACAGAGAGCTCATTAAATTGTCCCCTTCTCAGCTGAGCTGACACCCGAGGACACAAAAATTCACATGTTAATGCTGACTTGCTTTTGCTTTACAGAAACTGTTTTCCCAGGAAGCAACAATCCCTGGGAAACACCCAAACACAATTTAACCCCTTGAGGAACTTTCCACAACTTTTTTCTCCTCATTTTTGCATTTCACCTGGCTCCACCACGTGAGCAATGTCACCATCAGGTGGCTCTCGTGGGCCCCATGGATGTTTTGAACCCTGTGGTTGCTCCACAGGAGCTTTTCCAGTGGCTTCTCCATCCACTCCTGCTCCATCCACTCAGCTGGGAACGTGTAGGAGGGTGGGAGGGCCCTGCAGGGAGACCTGGAAGGGATGGATGGATGGATGGATGGATGGATGGATGGATGGATGGATGGATGGATGGATGGATGGATGGGCAGAGTTTAAAGATGGAGTTTAATGAGTCCAAGTGCCCAGTCCTGCATTTTGGCCACAACAACCCCTGCAATTCTCAGGGCTGGGGATGGTGTGGCTGGACAGTGCCCAGGCAGAAAGCCATCCCTGGGTGTGTTTAACAAAGCCTGGATGTGGCACTGGGGGCCAGGGTTGAGTTGGGGTGCTGGGGCTGGGCTGGACTTGATGATCTTTAAGGTCTCTTTCAGCCTGGTCATTCTGGGATCCCCCAGTCTCGGGGGATGCTCCCGCTCAGAACGCGACTCACCTGAAGAGAGAACCTGGAGTTATCCCGGCGTCATTCCAGGGCAGAGCAGGGATGGTGAATCGTGGGCTGGCGATGCCATCTAGTGGCACCGATCCCTGCCACAAACCCCCCAAAACGGGGCTGGGAGCGAGCCAGCAGGAAATTCCCAGGCGTATTTCCAGCCAGGAATGGCCCGGGAGGGAGCTGAAAGCTCATCCCAATTCCACTATCCCACCTTGCTCCAAGCCCTGTCCAGACTTAAAACTTTCTCCCGCTTTACTATTGTGACCTCCAAAAAGAAAACAAACCCCAATTATAATTATTGCCTTTCAGAAATATCTAAACCCACCTAAAAATTTTTTTTCAGGTGTAACAAAATTCCATTTTTTACCTCCCCTATTTCCTGATCTGCCAGGCTTAGAGGATATATGGTATAAAAACAAATGTTGTATAAAAGAGGACAAAATTGTAAAATTCTGTACATTGCATTTCTATTTCCCATTTTACTTCCTATTTTACTTCAGGGAATTTGGGTACGAGATATTTAAGTTTTCTAGTGTTCAAACCTGTTGGTATGAAGTCTTCAATTTGTGGAATTCTGGGGGTGCAACGTCTGCTTTTAACTGAGTAAAAATGCAAATAATATTTTATTAATTCTATGAAACGGTTTTGATTAATTATATGCAAACGAAATTCTTGTTTAGGATAATGTGACCCAAAAAATAGCAGGAATCTCCCACAAGACAATTCATGTAAAGAACCTCAGTGGTGGGGTTTGTGTGGCTGCAGAGCAGGAAACTCTTTGTGTTTGTGAGGACAGAATGGAGAAACTGAAGGGTTTCTTCTCCATAATTATTAAAAACACCACATTTGTCCCAAAATTCCCAACTATTTCTCATTATGTCCCTGGGAGTCCTGCAGCAGTTTCCCTGCAGAGAGAAAAGTGCTCGAGGAGCATCCCTTGGTCCTAAAAAAACCCATTACTGATTTGGGAGCACTGGAATTTCCCATCCGTTATTAATAATCCATCAATCCACAATTCATCCATAATTATAATCCATGAACTCCTGCAAAATGCACTTTTAATGGGAAGGCAGTGCAGGGAATGTCTCTGGGGGTCTGAAGTCCCTGTGTTTCCCTCAGGCTCTGGGATTTATTCCCAGATTTCCTGTGCTGGCACAGGACAAGCCCCATTTGTGTCTCCTTGGATCACAGAAGATGCAGGCAGGGATCCTGGCAGCTGGGTGTCTGCTCAGCCAGGGATGCCAGCTTGATTTCCACCCAAACTTCATCAAAATATTGAAAGAACCTCCTGCTGGTGGTGCTGGGACACGATAGCAGCCTGCTCCTGCGAGGATTCCCAAATCCCACTGGGTTGTCCTGGGCTCTCCTGAGGGACATCAGGGATCATCTTCACCTCTGCTGCCATCATTTGGGATCCCCCTCTGCTCACCTGGAGGAGAAGGTGACAGTGGGTGAGCACTGGAGGCTCTCTGATCTCTTTTCGGGAGCTGGAAAATGGGAGCGTTTAATTTCCTGCTGATTTATGGCTCTTTGGGGTCCCCTTCTGTGGAATTGTATTTGAATTTACAACCTCTGGCAGTTGTTTCGAGCCCAAACCAAGCGATTTGACCCAGCCTGGGTTAGATTTTATTAGGATTTTACTGATCAGCTGAGATCTTCCCTAAAAACCTCCTTGCCAGTATTTGTACTTCCAGTTATTCACCTTTAACTCTTCGTTTGACTCTGCCTTGGACAGTCTGAGCTCTTAATGAACTCTGTCCCTTCTAATCCAAACCATTCTATGATTCTATGATATTTTAAGTGGTCTAAAAATAAATCAACAGCTAAAAGAAAATCTGACTTCACTAAGACCAAATATTGCTAATATTGGTCAGTTCCTGGCCCTTGGCTCGTAGCTTTGCATTTAACCCAGGAGAAATGGGATTTGTTTCATTGCAGAACTGCAAAGGTAAATGACCCTGAACAAAACCCCAATAAAATTTTGCCATAAAATTTTGCACCTTTTAAACAGCTACTTCTGCCTGTCCAGAGAATCTGAAAGCAAAACTGCCATAACAAGTAATATATAACAAATAATACAGAATTATGTATGGCACAGAGATGTATCCACAGAAAAAGCTCTAGAAAAGGGAGGTTTGCAGCCAAATTTTCTATTTCCTGTTCTGTTGATTTGTTCCTCGTATATTGGCAGTAAAAATCACACTCAAGGTTCAGGCCCTCAAATCAGTTTTTTAGCTGAACATTTCAGCATATCCTAGCCCTGAATTTCCTAACAACTCCAAAGAAGCACTTTCCTTCCAGTTTTTTTTAACACACCTTTTCTTCTGCAATTAAAAAAGACAAATAAAAATCCCAAAGTAAATAACAAATCATCCCAGAGGAATGTTGATTTGATGCATTTGTTGTGATACCAAAACAGTAATTCCTGTAAATATTCCAGTGATAAAAAATGAAGTTGAAATCACATTCACAGTTCAGCAAATTTCACTTTGAGGAAAATTTCTGCTTTATGGAATATCAGATTTATTTATTTTCAGCCACATTTTGCTGTATCCCAAATAACTGGTAGGAAGCTATAAGATTTTTTTGTGGAATATTTTTATAGAGAAGGGTTTTACCTCAGAGAAAAATAAATGTGTGTCAGGAGCAGGATGTCCCTGAGGTCACACAAACCCCAAAATCTCCCTCATGAGCTCCACAAAGCTTTTAATTTTATTTTTTTTTTTAATTTTTCCATCCAGAGTACCCCAGTGCCAAATCCCTGCTCCTCCCACCCACCTTGGTACACAGAATTCCTGGTGCTGCCCCAGAGCCTGGCAAGGGGTGGGATGGGGTTGGGCACCTCCAGAGGGACACCCCAAGGCTGGGTGACCGTGTCCTCCTGGCAGCTCCTGCCCCATGAGCTTGGAGCAGCCCCAAAACCCAGCTCAAAGTCACAGCTGCCACATCCCATTTCTTTTAATGGACCTGGTTCGGCCAATTAAACACTTTTTCCTTCAGATCTCATCTGTGGGGAGCGTGGCATTAACTCACCTCGTGGGATTAATTGCCTGGAAAGTCACTGCCAGACCTTGGACACGGTGATATTAATTACTGTAATAGATATCAGAATGTTAAACATCATTTCTGACATTTATTTGGGGGGGAAAAACCCTCTCAGAATTAAAGGAATTAAACCACCCCCAGGCCATTTAATTATTTTATTGCCCTGCCATGGTTAGGTGAGGCCTCAGCTCGGTTTTTCTCCTCTCTAAGCCACGTCAGGAGTGTGGTTCAGTGATTCACACAAATCAGAGAGATAAAATGCATTTTTCACTGGATAATTTCTATTTCCAAATTGTCTATAACCCACATTTTTTTCTTTATTGGGCTGCTTCAAATTTGTCCTTGTGTGATACAATCTTAATTTGCAGCAGAGACTCAGAAAGTTGGAATTTAACAGAGGAAATTGCACTGTGCAAAGATGCTCGTTATAAATAAGTATTTGGTGAGAAGTTCCTTTCCTCTAATGAGAAGAATTCCAACTAATGACAAAAAAAATCAGAGACCAAAATGATCCTCTGCCTGTTTTTACTGATTGAAGTGACATTGCACCAGGAAGGCACCAAAACGCAGGGAAATCAAGCAAATGAAGGTTGGTTCTGAGGGAGGGTTACAGGTCACATTTATATTTGTTGTGAGTAAGGAAGAGCATGCAGAAAACAGCAGAAGTAGACTCATGGCCCTGAAAATCAAATTATTTTGGGGTACCAATTCCTCCACGTGGAGGGCCTGAAAATCAAATTATTTTGGGGTACCAAAGGAGGTACCAATTCCTCCACGTGGAGGAATTGAGATCTAATTTTTTCCACCAAACTCATTTATTTTGGATATTAACAAGGAATTTCCCTCTGAGGGTGGGCAGGCCCTGGCACAGGGTGCCCCTGTTGCTGCCCCTGGCTCCCTGGCAGTGCCCAAGGCCAGGCTGGACACTGGGGCTGGAGCACCTGGGACAGGGGATGTTTGCAAAACAAAACCTAAATTCTAAAAAAAAACCCCACCCCTGGGTTCTCTAAAGCTTTCCTTCTCTCACACACAAAACTAAGCCATCAGCACACAGAACAAAAATCATTATCCAGGCTTCTGGCAGAACTTAAACCCAGAGTAGCTCAACCCCAAAAAGGAAAATATTTGCACAATATGACTCAGTGCATAGAATTTACCTTCAGTTTTAATTGCTCTGCTTGTCAGCAATCAAACAATGAAATCCTGCAAGGACACACAGAGGATGTGGTTGTCTTCTCTCATGATACAGCTCCCTTACCCCAAAAATGTGAACATTTAAAATCATCAACAATCCTTTCAAAAGGAAAAAAAATAATCACCAACAATCCCTTCTTTTTTGTTTTAAAACATTTGAATCATCACCCACCCCTTCAAAAGATTTTTTTTTTAAACATTTTGAATCATGACACATCCCTTCAAAAGTTTGGGGTTTTAACATTTTAAATCATCACCCGTGCCTTCAAACATTATTCCTTTTTTATTTTTTTTAACAAGGAAATAAAACCTGTAATGAAGCAATCAGTGCTCTCTGTAATTTTATTTTTCAGACACTCACCTGACCTTTACCTTTCTGCTGGCCTCTGGCAGGAGGATGCTGTATTCCAGCCATGATATGCTTGGAAATTAAATGATGTAGTGGGTGGGAAGTGAATTAGCTTTAGTGAGTGACACAGTGCCAGGAAATTGAACTCCACACCTCCTGCAGAGCCTCTCCTGTCTGACCTGCTCCTCACTGCCTGCCAGGGCAGCAGCCTCAGGTGGCAGGAGAGCATCTGCCACCCCTTTTCCTTTCATGATCGGAGTAATTTGATTTTTTGGTAATCACTGCTGACCCTCCTTCGTTATCCCTCAGTCCAGGCTGACTTTTCAGCCCACACAAATCATCCTCTCTGTACCCAGCACCTTCCAGAGCGTTGTCCCAAACTCTGGCAGCAAGGGATGATTTTTCCTGCTGAGGCTTTGCCCTGTGAAGATCAAACCCTGTTGTTTGTCCTTCCCTTTGTCCCCAGTGGAGGTGTCCCCGGGCTCTGGCACCTCCAGCTCTGCCTCCCTGCACTGCAGCCGATCCCTTTGGGATTGGGTTCCTCCTGCTCCTGCTGCTGGGAGAGGCTCCCAGGATCCCAAACCCACCCCACAGCTGGTGCTGAGCCCCTTGCCTCTCCTCACTGCTCATCCCTTTCACCTGCTCTACCTGGGACACAAGGAGCTGTGCTGGGGCAAAAATCCCCAAATTCTTTGGGATAAGAGGGGAAAGAGGGAAGGAGCTGCAGCCCAGGGGCAGAAGATCTGTCCCAGGTGTGTGACCCTGGCTCAGAGACACCTGGCCCAAGCAGCACCTGGAGCGTGGGAGGAGGTGTTTGGTACATCCAGCACCTGAGCTTTGGCTTGGAAAGGGAGATTAAGGAATAAATATGCTGTGTCATAGGAGGGAAAAGTGCCAGATTCTTGTATTTGCTGGGACCCCCAACGAAGGCAAGGAAATGATGAATCTGACTCCATATCCTTAGAAGGCTAATTTGTTATTTCATGATCTATATTATATTAAGAATGCTATACTAAACTATACTAAAGAACACAGAAAGGATACAGACAGAAGGCTAAAGATAATAATGAAAAACTTGTGACTCTCTCCAGAGCCTTGACACAGCTGGGCTGTGATTGGCCAATAAGTAAAAACAATTCACATGAAACCAATGAAACAATCACCTGTTGGTAAACAGTGTCCAAACACATTCCAAAGCAGCAAAACACGGGAGAAACAAATCAGATAATTATTGTTTTCATTTTTCTCTGAGGCTTCTCAGCTTCCCAGGAGCTGGGAATCTTTCCAGGAAATATGACAGTGACACCAGAAAGTCCTGGATTGAGGGATAACTCACTGTTCCTTAAGGTGACAATCATGGTTTAATGAACTGTATGAAACATGAAGGAGCAAAAGGATAAAGAGCAGCTCCATGAGGGATCACCTGGCTCACAGCTTGGGACTGGGTGGGGCTTGGAGCAGCCTGGTGCATGGAAGGTGTCCCTGGCCCATGGAGCTGGGTGATCTGTAAGGTCCCCTCCAGCCCAAGCCAGTCTGGGATTCTGGGATGTCTGAGCTTTGCTGTTTGGAGCCTTCCACCTCCTTGCCATCTGTTCCCAGACTGAGTGACCTCCACTCCACAGCAAGTCCATCCTGAAGGTGAAACCATATTGTCTCAAGGCAGCATTTGGTCTGATTTTGTCCCTTTTAGCTGCTCATGAGAATGTTCCCAGAGTGATGAGGTGTTTGCTTCTGCAGGATAATCACGTTGCATAAAGCTTCTGCCCATTGTGGAGCTAATAAACCCAGCAGCAACATCTATCTTGGCCCAAAGAGGCTGGGAGTTTATTAAAGTTTTAAATTATGAATGCTGCTAATGCAGGGTAATAAGTTCAAGCAGCACAGTGTGAGCACTGATCATTCTCCTATTTTTGTCTACTATTGTGTAGTTATTAGACACCTTGTCCTTTATTAATCTTCTTTGACCTTCTTCCACAAATTCTCCTTCTCATAAAATTGAGTAACTGCTGAGGATCAGAATGTGCCAGGAGGGCCTGGGGGGATGAGGCACAATGTGGTGCAGCTAAAAAAGAAAGTGCTCCTGGTGAGGCCACCCCGACCCCCAAGCTGGGGTGGGACCTGGGGGGCTCAGAGCTGAGGAGGAGGCTTGGAGTGGTGGAGAATTCAATTTCATTGTTTTAATGGAGACATTGGGGGCTAAGAAAGGGGCTGAGCCTGGAGCCAAGGAGGCTCAGGGGGCCCTTGTGGCTCTGCACAGCTCCTGCCAGGAGGGGACAGCCGGGGGGTCGGGCTGTGCTCCAGGGAACAGGGACAGGAGCAGAGGGAACGGCCTCAGGGCAGGCTCAGGGTGGGCGCCAGGAGGAATTTCCCCATGGAAAAGGTTATTAAATATTAGAATGGGCTGCATTGGAGTGCCCATCCCGGGAAGTGTCCAAGGAATTCCTGGAGGTGGCACTCAGTGCTCTGTGCTAGGGATGAGGTGGGCACTGGGCACAGCTCGGACTTGATGATCCCAGAGGGCTTTTCCACCCTAAATGATTCTGTGCCCAGAGATTTACTTCAGCAGAATATCTGAATGTCATTTCTTAGCTTTGAATGACAATTACTTGAATATTAACAACTCCCCATTTGCTGAACACTGTGGGAGAGGAATAAAGAACCCTTCAGGGAGGGGACAAAAGAAACCCAGAATCTTCTTTCCAGAGTGCTCGTTGAGAATTCAGTGCAGGATCTCCCACACTGGAAGGCAGCCAGTGCGTGCTCCCACAGCTTTTCCTTTTGTTTTATGGCAGACTAAAGGATCAAGGATGTGGCCACCTGCAGCAAGGACGTGAGATGGAAAAGAGCTCAGCACTTTGCTCACTCCCTGTCAGCACAAAGCACAGTCCCAGACCCTGTTTCACCTGGAATCCATGACAGTTATAGAGTTAAATCATTCCTTTTGCCTGAAAAATGCCTGTGCTGCATTCAAATTTAAATATTCATGGCATTCACAACTTACTCATATCAATCACAACACTGCCACTGGAGTAGACAGATGTGGAGCCTCTGCTGAAAAGTTATTTCCCAAAAAAAAAGTTTAATTCTTGTCTCTTCATTATGTTTTTTCTTCTTATGTACAGGATAATGAAAAAAAAAACAACCCAAACCCTAAGTTTAGAGTTGATCATTCTATTCTGGCTGTCTGAAGAAACATGAAATAAAATGTTAGACATCTTTAAATAAATTGCACGTTTGAATGAATAAATAAATAGCTGAGGTATTAGAACTGAAAAGCCAGCAGCTGATTAGTAAAACCTCCTGAGAAATGAGGGTTATGTTCTTACAGAAAACGCTGGATTCGAAACATGCTCGTTACAGCAGGTGGCTAAAGAGTGTTTTCCCAGCATGGGGAATAACAGCTTTTAGGGACTATTACCATTATTTCATGTGTAAGCAACAAGAAAATTAAAAATACACAAAATGCTCAACCCAACCCAGCAGAATCTGCTGTTCCCATCATTTCTGGGCTCTGTGGGAGGGAAGAGCTCTTGGAATGGGGGCACTTTGTGCAGCCATGGTGTTCCTGCAGCTCCCCAGGGAGCACGGGCATCATCCCAGGCTGGAATCCTGGGGACTTTCAGAAGCCCAGGAGTTGTCATATTTCATGTTTAGTACATCTCAGGTGGTCACAGGGGGCTGGGAGCAGCAGGCACGTGCCCTGTGGACATCACTGTTCATTCCCAGGGGCTCCCCTGCCCCATCCTTGGCTGAAGGCTGACAGCTCTTGGGTTTACTTTCCATTGAACACCCCCTGAGAGGTTTTATTTGGTTATTCCCTTCACAATCTCAGGAGAAAGAGGCTGGAGCAGAGAAAGCATCAAATATTTTAGTGACGGGACATGGGGAAATGGTTTTAAATCAAAAGAGGATAGATTTGGGTTGGGTATAAGGAAGAAATTGAACCCTGTGAGGGTGGTGAGCTCTAGCACAGGGTGCCCAGAGAAGCTGTGGATCCTTGGATCCCTGGAAGTGCCAAAGCCAGGCTGGACAGGGCCTGGAGCACCCTGGGACAGAGGGAAGTGTTGGAACAAGATGATCTTTAAGGTCCCTTCCATGCCAACCCATTCCATGTTTCCATGATGAGCTCTTTGGAACACCTCCACTTTCCATTTTCCCACTCCAGAGACAAGGGCTGGCTTTTCTCGTGAGCAAACAGAGCCTCCCCAGTGCTGCAGAAGATGTTTTTAATTAAGTAGAGAGATGGGAAACTTTCCAAAAGCACTTCTGGCACTCAGGGTCTGACAGAGGCAGCTTGGCACCACCAGGAAATGAGAAGGAGCAAGGTGAGTGATGGAAGGAAGGGGCTGTCCTGGGCTTCAGCTCAGTGTCCTGCTCCTCAGGTGACCTCTGCAGGAGGGTGGAAGGGACAAATTTATTGCCAGCACGGGTGCCACCTCCCTGGTCCAGATGTCAGTCATGGGACGTGCTGCAATGCAGAGCTGGAGTTCAGAGATGCCAAAATCAAACAACTTATTCTCATTTTTAATACACCAGGACAAATTTACTGCCTTAACTCATCCACAGCCTCCTCCCCTCCCATCTCCTCAGCCAAACAGGGAGGTTCATGGCCAAGGAGTGAATTCTCAGGACAAGGGACACCAGGGCTCCATCATCTGGATTTATGTGCCCCTGGCACAGCACAAACCAGAGGAACATCAACGTCTCCTCCTGCTCCTGGATCTGGAAAAAGCCTGGGCAGGAGTTCTGTCCACCCAAACCCCAAAAACCACCCAGAGCCATGGTGAAGAAGGTGAAGAAGAGCAACCAGCCACCACCCTAAAACCTCCATCTTGCTTTATATATATATTACTATATTCTAAAACCCCAAACTCTGTGTTTTCCACCCTGTGATAGCACACACTTGTATCCAAACTCCACACCCACAATCCCAGTTCCATCATTCCGTTTTGGCAGCTTCTCCACGGCCTCAGATCAATGCAGAGTTCTCCTGGGGGTCAGTGCCTGTCAGCACAGAAAGTCTGAAATTCTGTTTCTAGGCTTCCAAACAGAGTTGCAGCCAGGACACAGAGGAACAGAGAGGAATGGCTGGAGCAAACATGGAATGGTCTGTGCTGGAGCTTCCATCCCCACTGGAGGTGCCTGGGAGGGGTGAGGACATGAGGACACAGTGGTGTGGACCAGGAGCTGTTCAGACCCAGCCATCTCTCTCCTGCTTTCATTAAACCTCACACAGAAACAATTAAAACCTTGTCTGGGATTATCCTGTAAGGTCTGTTTACTCCTGCATAGCCAAATACTTATTTACTTTGTTTATTAGCTGTGTTTACTCATCAGCTCTGCCTTCTGAGCAGCCTCAAACCTCAGTTTGTTTTAGTCTTTACACAAGCAGCATCTGTCACAAGCTGCTTCCTCAGCCTGCCCCTTTTCTACCCCTCAACTTGCATTTTCTGCTTTCCAAGGTCATTTTTAGGCGTATGAAAGGAGAATAAAATGAGTTTCATGTGCAGAATTCCCCCCTCCCCCAGCTGAACAAAGCAGGGAGCAAAGCAGAAAA